ATGCAGACCACCGGTCAGCAGATCAACCCAGGATGGCTCGGACCACCTGCCTGTCAGGGCTACAGTGCGCGGTGGGTGCAGGAGTTCAGCGTGCCCACGGACCTGAAGTACTCCCAGTTCCTCATGCACTCCGTGGAGAGCTTGGACAGCGACGTGCTTGCCGAGATCCAATGTGCCCTTCGCATCGTCCCGAAGAAGAGAGGCAAACCGGCGGTTGACCTGCTGAAGCTCCCCACCACGGTGCCTTCGTTCCGGGAAGACGCGGGCCGGATCAAAGTCGCGTCGGTTCTGCGGGCTTTTGCCTGTTGGAAGCCAGATGTCGGCTATCAGCCCGAGCTCGCGCTGCTGGCTGCGCACATCATGGCTGTGGCTGGAAATGAGCGCGTGACCTTTCAGGCGTTGGCTACCACCTACAGGAAGTACCATCTGCAAGACTACTTCGAGGGCGCGGACACACAGGAAGCAATCGTGGGCGATGCGGAGAAGATTTGGGCCGCGGCACGATTGTATTTTCCTGACTTAGCCCATGCATTCAGCCGCTTCGGCAAGAAGAAGCTCTTTCTCTCTGTGGTTTCGTCGCTCTTGTCGAAGTTGCTGACTCAGACCTACCGTCCAGATCTGCAGCCCTTCGAGCATCACGTTCCTACGGTATCCTTAGGAAGTGTGTCTTGTGTTGTTTATATCAGCCCAAGGGAATAGAAACATCCTCGTATATGTGTTTCTGAGAGAAAAGTACAGGTTCGACTGCTGCACAACTTCCTGCTTCCGGTCGGGGACTACGACCCCGAAGATCCTCGAGCACAGCTTCGCCGACTGGTGCTGGTCATCATGGCAAGGCGTGAGGGTCATGGTGGGTTTAGGGGTTTAGGGTTTGGGGTTTAGGGCTTAGGGTTTACGGTTTAGGTTTTTTTGTTTTTTATGAAATATTAAACCCAACAAGGACCAAGCATGACCATGTTAAATACTACCCCAAACACCGGTGCAGGCATGAGGAGTCCTTTCTGCAGAGCAGTGAAGCCGAGATCAAGGACGTGATCCGGGATGTGGTGCCTCGCGTGGACAGCGTCTTGATCGAGATGCTGAACGCCAACCACCCGATGCCCGACATCCCCTCAGGTCCCTTGTGGCCCTCCCTACTCCTCACCGGATTGGGGGCCGTCCTCGCCTACGACATGGCAAGCCCCTGGGGCATGGCGGCCCAGGTCACGTGGACCACGGGCGCGGCGGTCTCCGGCTTCGTCTACGGGGCCTTGCAGTCGGCGCAGGTGAGCGTGGAGGCGGCGGTGCTCGCGAACCGGGCCTTCATGCTTCAGGGCGACAAGGCGGAGGTGTCAGAGGATGAGTCGGACTAGGGAGGAGGTAGAGGCCGGTGTTGGGGTTTCCTAACATCTGGGCACCCTTTTTGGGAGGGCTTCTGTACTGAGGATCAGAGTATTGCTTGATATGTTTTTCTTGGGAGGGGCCGGGGGGTACATTGGGGGACCCTATCGTGGGAAATGCCCCAGAGGAGGAGAGGTCCCATTCCTCCTCGCCTGCGGGCAGACGTTTCAAGGTGCTTGCACTCCTCTTGGGCACGGATGGGCCCTGAGCTCTGAAAAAGCTCGTGGGGACATGTCTCCTACGACAAGTCTGTGAGAAGGTACCCTAAGCCCTAAACCCTAAACCCTAAACCCTAAAACCCTAAACCCTAAACCTTAAACGTCCCCCGAAGCCCGGGGGTTGTGGGACGATGCTTCGAGCAGGCTCAGGGAGCATTTCGGCCCAGGCCCGCTGCACTTCGATTCTTCGTGCAAGCTGGCCAGCCTTCTGTATGTTACACGATGATATTTTTCCTTTTGGTAGCCCAGTGGTACACCTTTTTTCCCTCTGTTGGTTCAAGGTTCATCTTATGAACCAACCCCAAAAAAAAGGGGTGCCCTTATTAGAATGTGGTTACTGGGCTGCCAAGTCCTACAGCAGAATCGGCAGGCTCATCTCGACACCATGGCAAGCCGGATGGGCCTCTTCTTTCTTTCTAGATTTGCGTCGTTTCGCGGGCACAACCCCTTTGGCCAAGCCCCGATCGCACACTCAAAAGGGTAATATAGGCGTCGGAATAGTTGCTAGTAATATTCCTTTATGGTCCATAGGAGCGAGGTTCTCCACGCCCAGACTCGGAACACTAAACCGTCAAGCGATCGGGGCATGGTCTTGACACGGGCTTCGCGATCACTGCACTCTTTTTTTTCGCAGGGCCCCATCCAACAAACCCTAAACCCCAAACCCTCAACCCTAAACCCTAAACCCTACACCCTAAAAACCCTAAAGTCGAGCTCATTAGTAGGTCATTGGTGACCATCGGTGCCTTTGATTCCAGTCCAGAGCCGCCATGATATTCCACTGGTTAGCGGCGAAGGGTTCTCGTGCAAGCTGACCCGCAAAGCGTCTTGCTTGTCTATCCCCTTGCAATCTCAAGACCCTCAAGCTCGAAGCTGTACGCATCTGAGCCGACCCTTCGCTTTTAACGGACGTGGCCGGCAGACAATGAATTGACCAATGCATGCTCGTTGCTGGATCCGATGAGGTGAATGGGATTTCTTAATTTTGATTAGGCACTTCACATTTTGTGCTAGGTTTAGGGTTTAGGGTTTAGGGTTTAGGGAAAGCTCGTTGGATCTCCCAAGTCTGGCTCTGCCACGCCGGATGCTGCGCTCTAGTTTGTCGGAGAGGAACAGCTGACGACTCTGTCGTGGCGAGGCTAAAAGCCCTAAACTTTCAAAATCGATCGGAGGCATGGTCTTGACACAGGTTTCACGATCACCGCGCCTTTTCCTTTGCCAGGGCCCCATAGAACACCATTGACGGCGCACATCTCCGTGCCATGTCCTACCAATCAGGGCCCTAGATTCAAGAGGTAGCACGAGATAGTGGCAGTGGAGGGTTCCTGTGCAAACGGACCGGCAAACAAAGAGATCCTGTCTAGCATGGCTACCCTTTCACTTTGAACGGACATTGCAGACAGGCCATGCTCCGACTTGAGCAGGAAGGTGACTCGGGGGTTTTCCGAAATTCGGGGTACCTTATTATTGGGGCCTTGGGGTCCTTATCATAAGAGGATCCTAATACTTGGTTCCCTAAACCCTAAACCCTAAACCCGAAAACCCTTCTTGGGGGTCCGCTTTTTTTTCGTAAACCCCCGGACCAAGGCATGCTCGTTGCTGGATCCGATGAGTTGAACCGGGAGTCGTACACACCTTAGCTCAATCCTGGGGCTGGCCTAAATATAGGGTTTAGAGTTTAGGGTTTAGGGTTTAGGGTTGAAGGTTTAGGGTTTGGGGTTTAGGGTTCCCATGGGTTCCCTGTTTATAGGGGCCCTTATACCTCAATAGTAGGATCCTTATCTTTACGTGTTTTTTTGAGCCCCTTACCTAAACCCGAAAACGGAAGCGGAAATGTTGATCCCCTCGTTCTTTGGGTCGTTCTGTTTGCGGAGTCCGAGGGTTTCGATTTTGATCCCAGGAGGTTAGATTCCATGTGCATCGCGCGGTCCCTGTGCTTGCAAGTCCCCACAACCCCAACATTAAACTGTTCCCTAACCCCCAAACCCCAAACCCCACACCCTAAACCCGAAACCCTAAACCCTAAACCCTAAACCCTAAACGCTCATCTTGAGCAGCGTCCTCGGACTATCCTGTTTGCAAATGGGCGGCGGCCCCTGAGCTTGTTTGCTTAGGGTTTAGGGTTTAGCGTTTAGGGTTTAGGGTTTAGGGTTTAGGGTTTAGGGTTTAGGGTTTAGGGTTTAGGGTTTAGAAGGAAACAGTGTCAAATGGGCTTAACGCTAAATCCTCAACCCTAAACCCCGTTTTTCTGAAGCCGTGCATGCAACAAGGGTTGCCTGAGAAGGAAGCCTAGGTACCGGGGCCGGGTTTACCAGAGGATTCGAGCCGTGCCTAGGCGAGAATACCAACTCGAAAAGAAAAACCCTAAACCCTAAACCCTAAACCCCAAACTCTAAACCCTAAACCCTAAACCCTAGACCCTATACCCTAAACCGTGCTATGTCGCTATAAACAACGAACTGCGCTGCCGCACCTTTACGGATGTAAGATTGAGGGCGCAGCACTTTACGCAGCAACTTTCTCGGATCTGCCAGCTTTAGCATGCCGCCTTGTAGCTTCGTGAGAGGAGGAGAAGAACAGCAGAGCTGAGGGCTCTGAGCTGCGCTGCTGAAGGAGCTGCGCTGCCTTGGGGCTCGTGCGCAGAAAAGGGTTTAGGGTTTAGGGTTTAGGGTTTAGGGTTTAGGGTTTAGGGTTTAGGGCCAACCCCCCCTAAACCGGCAGCCACATGGGTAGCTCTGTATATTAGGGTCAGCTCTTGGGTCCCTTTGTTTGTATGGCACCTTAAAGGGGACCCTGATGTGGAGAACTACGCACATGGATATGAGACCGGCTAGGTTGCGGTTTGGAAGACGCTGCTAGACCTAACCCCCGAGAATCATCCTAGAACAACTTTTCGGGTCGCTAGTTCCCCCTCCACACCCATACCTACCGCTTACATAAGGTTTCATCCTTCACCCTAAGCCCCAAACCTAAAGCCCTAAACCCATGTCGCGAGATTTGGGCTTTAGGGCTTCCCAGGGACTCCAATACTCTTTAATTCAGGAACATTCTTAAACCATATAAGGAACCCTATTATATTTCAAAGGATATTCCTTAATTAAGGGGTATCAGAGTCCCTGGGTTCGGGTTTCAATGATCCTAAACCCTAAACCCAAAAACCCTAACCTTAAATTAAACCCTAAACCCAAAGCCCTATTTGAGTTTGTGGCTGGAAACTGCGGAGGCCCGCGGGACGAGTCGGAGAGCGAACACAAAGGCGGAGTTTGCGACGTGCTATGAATACAAACATGAATAAATTCATGGATAAAAGAACATATATATATATATGTATATGTATGTATATATATATATAACGGTAGAATTCGGAGAAAAAGGATAGACATAAATTACAAAAAAGTAAATAAAAAACACATCAACAAATACATTAATGTGCAATGTACATCATCGTTATATAACTATCATCAACACCAAAAAGCCCTGAGCCCGGAACTTCGCAGTTTGCATCCACAGGAGGGGAGCATTCTCCGAATTGTGGGGTCTTGGGTACCCTGTATGTAAGTCAAGTAGGACCTCCAAAAGGGATCATAACTCAGGGAACCTCCCACATGTTTTCCTGCCTTCCATGGGGAACGTTTGCCTAAACCAATTGTGGAAGCAGATGTATTGGCTGCAGAGAAGCCGCGCCAATTCCGACAACAATCCCCTCCACTCAAGACAGCTGAAACATCCACAAGCAAAAATGGACTACACCGCAGCTAGCAGAGACGATGGTAGCTTGTAAGGCGAGGAGTAGTATCGGCGATCCAGAAGCAACTGCTGAGTACCAGCAAGTCAAAAGTCATGCTAGAAAAGGCAAAGCAGTACAGGGTCCGACAAAATATTCGGGATCCAGTGAAAGAAAGGGAGATACACACCTATGGAAGACAGGCCGGTAGCTCAAAAAAGGGTTCAGGGAGAAGAAAGCAAGGCTAAAACGCAATGGGAAACCTTCCTACCATGGTGGCCTTCAAAGTTTGAATATCGAACGCGCAGTGGGGTTCTCATTGGTAGCAGAAGAAGAGCACCAGCTTCTGCGAGCGTCACCAACAATACGCCCCCCCCCCCCCCTCAAGATCGTACCGCCTGAACCCTTTCCTGGGGAGGAACTGTGCAAGGGTTTAGGGTTTAGGGTTTAGGGTTTAGGGTACAGAGCTCGCCGGATGCCCATGTGCGGAGTAGCCTTACGTGTGTTGCCCTTGTAACCAGACGCGGTGAAGAGTGTGCATGGAATCCCTAGCAACCTTGTTAAACGGCCATTTTCAAGTAACTTTCAAGTAAAAGGCTGGCAAGCTTTTGCGGGCTTATCTTGCAACCTGGGAGTCCAATGCCCCTGAAATCAAGGAATTTTCCTGAAACTATAAGAGGGTTCCTTGTATGGTTGAAGGAACATTCCTTCATTAAGGGGTATTGGAGTCTCTGGGAATGAATGGTGGATCCTCGGTGAAGCAGCGTGCCCTGAAGCCGTACTGCGTTTGGCGGAGTACTGGGTCGTGGTCACTAGAAAGCCGTTGCTGTAATACAGAGATGTGTACTTTATAGAGGATGTGAAGTAAAGCTGTGGGTCTGTAATTTGTTAGGTCGCTGTCAAAGCCTTGATACCCTTCTTCTAGCGCTGTCAGGACATCAGAGCCAGGAATTTCTTAAGTATGTACAGGTCGAAGCGACCCTATACGGACTCACACAAAATGAGGCACTAACTCGCCCTCAGCCTGACC